TAATCCGACACAGTCTATTATGCCTTCTAATCCGACACAGTCTATTATGCCTTCTAATCCGACACAGTCTATTATGCCTTCTAATCCGACACAGTCTATTATGCCTTCTAATCTGACACAGTCCATTAAGCCATGCAAAATGGTGTCTATCTTGCCTCCAGATCCCCCGGATCAACAGCAGCATGTGAACCCTGTAACTGTACCTGTATCCCCTCATTTTCCTCAGGCATCTACAGTGAGAGGCTCATTCCATCAAGGAGACCAACGATTTGGAATCAACAGCAACAAACAGTGTGTGGCTAATAGTTTGATGGCTATACTGATGTGTAAAATAAAGAATGTCTTAAGCTGGTCGGTCACAGACCTTGATCAAGTGCTGCTGAACGGAGACTACCTCTACAGTACCATCAGAGACGCTGGGAGAATTCAAGATGCTTCTGGGTATCTGTTGGTCAGAGATCTACCAACAGAGTACACATTGAATGGTGTTACATTTGAAATAAAGTACCACAATGACATGTTTGTTGGATTGTTTGGTGTGAGTGAGTATGGAGATATGCGTAATGTTCTTATGTCGGCTGATGAAGCGGTAAGAAGAGTATTCTCACAGTTTGATGCATGTCTTTTTACCATAAAAGTCAATACCTGTGCTCTCATTAAGCAAGGGTCATGGTATGTGGTGATCGACTCGCATTCCCGACGGGAAGATGGCACAAGCGAAGCATCGGGCAGAAGCATACTGGCTTACCACTCTAGCCTAGACTCTTTGTTGAACCACATTGCTATCCTGGGCCTGTCTTTAGACGCAACGGGGGAGCAGTTTGAGATTACAGCTGTGAGTGTATCCACCGAAAGCATCCCGCAGCAGCATTCAGAAGGTAACTCATCAGTCACCAGACTCGACCAGTTGACCAGCACACCAGAGACTGGATATGGTACGGTAAGGCTGAATGTGACAGATGATGAAGCGCGTGAGGATGATGTCTATGCTGGTAATGAAGCTGATGTGGTCTTTATC